TATTTCATTAGTTTGAAGTATTATGAGTTCTCAGAACATGATACATTCAAAAATCTAATAGAAAAATATCCTGTTGTTTTAAATGAGAAGTGTCAAACTCTGTCCTAGTATGTCCTAAACTATATTAAAAAGTACTTGGGTAATATTTAAGAAAATGAAATTAAAATACAACACAACGCAGATGTTAACTGTGATGTTAATTTGGTTTTCTAAATCAATATGTGGCCTGGCCTGCAAGGATCCATTTCTATTTGAGTTTTACACCATTATTTTAGGTTACCAAATAGTATCCATTAACAGGCTAATTATGAAAAGAGGAGGACTACTGATTCTAAGTAATCACCAAAAAGTGTACATGCTTAAACTGAAGAAAAAATGACAACATTTCTCCAAGCTAGGTAGGAAAATACATTATAATTTCAGAGTATCTCTGAAAGAAACTGGAAGAAAACTTGAAAAGTTCAGAAGAAAGCAAGCTATCATATACACCACTGATTTGCTTCTAGCAACTGAGCCAAATTCTAAGAATCAGAATTGATGTCGAATCTGTTTCCATTAAATTTTTTTTTAAGTTTAAGAGGGGATATACAGAATACCTATCAGAGTACATTACACTGGATCTGATACCAGAGTATGAGTCTGGTGCTAAGATGAGGAAAACTCTGTCAACCCCTCAAAAAGATAGAAAGCAAGAAAGAAATTAGTCTTTGTTTAAAATGATTATTCAGCAGCAAATTTATTTCACTAACTGAAATATTTTATCAAAATTACTGTTAAGAATAGATTAAAACCCTATATTAGACATTTTTTACATAGCTGACTACAAGCAGCATTTTTATTTTTTTTTAATTAAATCACATTCTTTCCTTCAAAATATATATTATAAACAACTAAAATAAAAACCTTAGGTACACAGATGAAATATATGCCATTCCTTCCAAATTTTAAGGCTTTTTGCTTTCTTCTCCCAAATAAAAAGAAATCCATGATCTTTTTACTATGAAGTAAATGGACCATATTATTTGCATATGTGCATACATGTGTTTGCATACATATACACACAAGTGTGCACATACATACATACACAGAGATCTGCTAAGGCACCCACTGATCAACAAAGACCAAACATACTTAAATTAAGGAAACCTTAAAATTACAATATGCATACTCTTTTCAATGCAAGAACACTTAGCATTATTATTTGTGTCATATAACTTTGCATTCCCTTTCTCAAAAGGGCTCAGTACAAAAAAGCACCACACAAAGGGAAACCTGGCACTGAGAACTGGCTTCCTCTCAACCTTCCTCGGTTTGATTTAAGGCATCTTAGTAAAAGTACGCCACCAGACAGCATCACAAAAGCAGTCCCAATGCCTTAAATCAGGCAGGCTAACCACCAATTATATTTCAGTCATGGCTGCATGGACAGTATAGTCAACATCACGATGGACTCCTGAATTCTTCACATTGCGTTCATGGACAAAGTCAGTGTAGTTTCTACAAGCAGCCTGGGGTGGTGGCATGCTCCACTGGGTTCCACCATGTTGACAGCGGTCACTGGCATCAGATAGCCTGGATGGTTGGGGAGTGGGAGGGGAGCACAGTTAGTCATTAGAAATAGACAGGGTGGAAAGTACAAGAGGTAAAAGATGAGGTGACTAAAGGGATGCAGAAAAGCAAGAGTGTGCGAGTGGAAACAAAGAAAGGACACATACAAACTAACCCCTTTACTACTGCCACGTTAGGGATGTCATATGTCAATGTGAAGACCCAGTACAAAAAGGCTGGTTTACACATGGCAGTGTTAAAGGACTTAACTGACAAACTCAAATATAGGACAAAAAAAAACCTATTCCATGCAAATACAGAATTTTAAAAAATATATATCTCTCACTTAGTTTAAAGAAGAAAAATTAAAAGAGGCTTAGGGCACAAGCAACAGAATAAGGGCAGGTTTCCCAAGTGCAAACAAATCCAGGTTTATGAAGCAAAATTTCACTAAAGTGCAAAGTATTACATTGTAACTGCACCTGATGTTGCAATTTAAAATAAGAACTGAAACAATGTTTGGGTATTTGATAAGTCTTCTGTGATTTTTGCCACAAGGACAAAAACAAGTATGAAAGGTATTTTGGAAGCAGCAGTCTTAAAACAAGAAACAACAGGAAATAGGAACCCTGATAGATGGATTTAGGAACCTCTAATTGCTTATGGGAAAATAGCTAATTTATAGCATAAATTTCATTATAGCATGTGAATTTGAGATTGTCTCCCCCAATTACCAACGATACGCTATGGAAATACACAAACTACAGAGAAGCTTATAAAGGCTAACAGTGGAGAATTCTCTCAATCTTCATTAAAATAAAACATGAAGTAGGACATCAGGCACAGACAATGTAATTGGATTCTCTGCTGCTTTCCAGAAAAGCAAGTTTAATACATTCATTAGTACATGCATTACTGTGCTTAGCAATCCAATTGGAAAGTCAAGATGAAACACAGAGGATTATGTAAAATTTAATGTGCAAGCTCCCTCATTAATACTGATAATAGTCCTCCTGTAGAAAGGTAATATTTGCTACATCAATATTTGCTAAATGCAAAAACCCCCAAATTTCTTACCAAGAAACTAGAGATACAGGATAGAATAAATAGATTTTTAAAAACATGAGAATCTCTATTTTCAAAATGGATCCCTCATACACTACATACTAATAATCACAGTAAAACCTATATCATTCCTCATATATTCAATAAATGATGTTCCATGAACTTGGAAGCATTTTTTGGGGGGGGGTTGCTTTGTTTTCTTTCCTTTCACTGGGAACCATATTTGTTCATCTAAGCTGATTCACAGAATTTAAATCTACAGCCTATGATTTTTTTTTGAACACTGAATCAATCAGAAAGTTTCATGTGCAAAAAAAAATTCCAAAATGCCACTTCTTGTTTAGGTAGCTAATTTTTGTTTTGCTTTGTTTTTTACTCTTCTATGAAAGTCATTTGTATAATCCTCATTTCCCCAAATACTGGTAGTTCAAAAATTGAACAAACCATTACTGTGGCACACAGGGGACAGGGGACGCCTAAAAAGGCAATACTTTTATTTAGCAAAGGAGAAAAAGGAAAATGAAACTTCTAATGGGTAATATGTCACAGAATTCTACCAGCCACTCCCAATTTTTGAAGCATATTAAGTTGTATTTCAAAATCCTACCAATTTACTCATTTCTAGAGGAGGTCCATTTTTATTATTTATCTTAACACAAACAAAATCAACTGACAATAATCAACAGTCAAGGCATGCAAAAGAAATGAGCCAGCTATAGGCAGTAACCATTTTGGATTAAAGGCAGAAAAATCCATCAGCTCCCAAGAAATGACAGCATACATTCAGCTGCATCCCTCTGATTAGGCACGAGAGGGCTCATTATGGTTTGTCAGTGTTACCACTTTGCTCCATTCCAGCCTAGTAGATCCCAGCACAATATACAAAAGATGACACACAGCTCCAAATTGTTCTATCATTTTTTTTAACCCTGAAACTCAATCAAACCCAATACCTCTCCTCTTTCCAACAGTCATTTCTACTTAACTCAGCAGGAACTGCAGAATCATATTTAGCCAACTGATGTATCTATAAGTTCGAGTTTATCACCTCATTAAATGTTTAGTGTTGTAACAAAGGGCAGACTGCACACTCAAATGCTATAAAAGTAACTAGCCTCCAAAAAAATGACCTGCTGTCTATTTCAGCTGAAGTATATTGGAGGGCAGATTGTTACTTGCCAATGGGGAGTAAGTACTAACATCCTAGGAAACAAACCAAATATGACTATGTTCTAGGCTTTGGAGTAGACGTTACGACACGATGTAAAAGACTTAAGGGGAGGGATGGTGAGGAGAGGCAACTAAATCTGAGATTCAGTAGTCTGAATTAAAAATCATTTAGCATTAAAAAAAAAAAAACTAGGTCAGACCTATTTGGAGCTGAAGTCAAAACATTCCAAACTAAGAAATTATCCAGTGTCCGCAAAGCACCTTGCAGTTAGGCAAAAAATCAAATGGAGAAGACTGAACGAAAATAATCACCAACCACCGTGCTCCCACCACCGAGAAGGAAGAGCCGCTTGCATAAAGAGCCGAATGAAACCTTGAGATCACCACAGACAACCCATTAGGTTTCAGATACTAAACAAACTAAGAGCAAGAAAGACAAAGAAAAATCCATTTGATTATCTATTTCGCCTTCACAGACTAACACAATGGAATACATGCAGCACAGTACCCAATAAAAACCACCCAAATTATATTGCTTTTATTTCATTTGCTTGAGAAAGAGAACCATTGATTATACCCAACAGGCAAACTATTCATATCTATGTGCTTGCTATCAATCTTGGGAAAAGATGTAAAACAGCTAGAATTCAAACAATTCAAAATACTTTTTTCTCATCTTTTAACTGCCTTTCATTCTTGATAAATAATATTCCTGATTCTACATAGCTGGATTTTTCAGCCTCTTTTTAGCCCCAGTGAAGCTTATTTTCCACTAGCATGCCCTTTGGAGACTACTTCTAAAATTTTATATTCATGTTACTTTGAAGAAGTAACTTCCACAAGTAACAAGTAATGAACGTCCATCTATTTGGGGACATTTTTTAACTGAGGTGAAGCACTTCAGAAAAGGCACCATGGGAGAGTATCTTTAAGGAAAAATTACTGCAGCAAGTCCTTGGAGTACACCCTGAGTTGAGGCTAAAGGGCAGCCTAGCAGTCAGGAGGTCTTCTACTTAAAACAAGCATACTCTATTATCCTTCTCACCTACAAACTCTACTCCTCTATCTCCACAGGGCTGGACTGATATCAATATTCACTTTTCTATTCACAAATATGAATAGTTTGTCTTAAATAATACATAAATTCAGAGTAAGGTTAAGTATTTGGATTGCATGCATACAAGTAACATTTTTTCTGGGGTCAAGGGTTTACAAACCATTTCCTGTCATGGTGGCTCATTCCTGGACTCCTTGAAAGATTCTCTATCTCCACCAGAACAGGACCAGAAGGAATGGATGAGATTACTGGCATAGTTGACCTCGTACCCCTAACCTTAGGGAACAAAATGTGGAAATAATAATTTTACTTAAATATTTTAGAACAAGCAGCCAATATAAAGGGAAGCGAAGAGGAATGACACCAACAGGGACACAAATTACCAAAAGCTGAATACTGATTGTTGGCGATTGAAGGCAATGCAAATGGCTTAAGATTTATAGAAACTCTAAAAGGAACTTCAAGTATTTTTAATCCCATTTCTCTTTGCAGAGATAAGAAATTTTAAAAGATGTTTTACAGAGGTGTCCTTTCAACATCCACTAAGTCATTAACTTTACAGAAAGCAAAATTGATACATGGCAAGGGTGACTTGCCCAACCTCAACCACTAACATATGGTAGTGTTGGAATTAAGACCTCTAATATCCCTAATATCAGCCCACTCATCTTTCTAATAAATATAACAGACATGAGGATACAATAATAAAATAACATACAAGAGGAAAGTAAGTTTACTGGCCTAAGAATTCTTGATGTTTAGTGTATTTCAGTAACCCTAAGATGATCTTACTTGTTGGGATCCATTATTCTGAGTTGAAATATTCTTCTGGAGACTGCAAAAGAAAAAAAAATCCCCAATTTTTTTAATTACGGGATTAATTTATAGTTCTCGATACTTCTATATCTACCTATATTTATATCTTTGTGTGTGGGTGTGTATACACACACCCACACACACACGTATATATACATACATGTCCACACACAGACACAGAGAAACAGAGACACAAAGAGAGCCAGACATCTTTATCTGTACCTATCTACATCTCAAACAGAAGCAATAAAGTAACACACATACTTTTTTGCAGAGAAGTTAACTATCATTATCTCTATTTCAAAATATATTAGCAGGAAACATTTGCTTTTAAGTTGAGGTTTGATTCAATTGGCAATTGAATCTCTACGTTTGGGGCAAGTTATGTTACTTTCTTCTGTCTAGGGCCATGACAAATTCCTATAATTCCTTTTCTCTTTTCATACGTGATTTATCATGGGCTATAATATTAAACCTTACCAGTAGGTGCCACCTTGAAATGTCACCATTTCAAGTCATTCTTGCATTTTCTCTGCCATCTCCCAATGTGCTCTTGGATCACCTTTCCTCATTCCCCCCACCCCTTGCACCAGCTGGTGTTAGCTCCAAACCTTGAGAGCTTGTGGTGTGCATCTTCCTTCCAATAATTTATAAAAACAAAGAACTGGTTCTAAAACTGATCCCTGGGGAAACCATCAACTGTTCATACTTCTCTGACCATTCTCTAACCTTAGGTCTTTCTTAACGGCTTGTTTCGTTACAAACTGCAGATTTTATAGCTGGAATGAACCTTAGAAATCCATCCCTTCTCACTTTATGAGACCCAGATAGATTAAATGACTTTCCCAAGATCATCCAGGTAGTAAGTGGTAGAAACAGTATTTGAATCAAGGTCCTATGGCTCCAAATAAAGGGCTATTTTCACCATACTACTTTCCCCTCCTTTTCCCTAAGCCTTTAGTTACTGCTTATAAGTTATTTCAATACCAAAGTTTCCTACCCCATTTCCTACAACAGTTGGATATATAATTCTCTATTTTGACAACTTTGAAAGTTTAAGTAGATTACATATTTATTATTTCTCTTTACTCACTTGCATTAATTTTCAATTAATAAACATTTATTAAGCACCTACTCTTTGCCACATTCTTTGCTAGGCACCGGGGAAGGGGTGGAGTCAAGATGGGAGAGGGAAAGTCAGTATTTCTGTTCAGCACCCAACACGCATCCTAGAAAATGTGCCAGATCAAATTATTATCAGGAAAGCCAAGGAAAAAGTCATTCTGAGTCACTTCTATGGTTCAGGGGAGCTTAGGAAAACAGACAAAGATGTCTGTGTACACGGGTACAGGCACTGACTAGGAGCACAGTAGCAGTGGAGGCGGCAGCAGCAGCAGCAGCAACATCAGGAAGCATTCTAATGCCCAGGGGAGGAATGGATGTGAAACACTGAATATATGGATAGACTTGGTTGATACTTTACTGAATGACTTTTTCTCCCCCTTTTTCTCTTTTGTTCTTTGTTTTTACAAGGGTTGGATCAACGTGTAGGGAGGTAGGTAGTATATATTTTGGAACCAAATGTGATATGAAAAATATTATGTATAAACACAGAGACATAAACATACATATATTCATGCAAATCTGTATATTCACAGTTTAAGATAATATGTACCTCTGATAAATGAATAATTTAGTATATTTTAATACACGCACACACACACAGAGGATTTGCAAGAATGGCATTTAATGGCTTTCAGCCTCAGTTTCCTCTACTGCAAAATGAGGATAATAAAAGCACCTAACTCACAAAATACTCGTGAGGATCAAATAATAAATATAAAGTGTTCTGCAAACCTTAAAGTATTAATATACTATTTAAAGTAGAAAAGTATTATTTAAAGACTAAAGTATCTAAATACCAGCTATACAGCATCACTCAGCTTTTACTCTGGAATTGGTCGCTTTTTGTTTATTTTAAAGGAGAAGGGTATTTTATTACTGGAGCTCTAGTTGTAACACGAAATATTTATGTAGATGCAAATGCAACACACCAAAGACAGGCACGAGTTTCTAGACTTCACTAACAATGAAGTGACTAGCACCTGCCTTCTAAACAGAAAGCATTCCTATCAGTTGAAGTATCTGCTTCAAGCCATCTTCATAGAACTCTTCTAAAATTTGAAGAGTAACACATGATTATCAAATCCCTCTTGGAAATTACCGTCAGCTTTATGGTAGCTATGGCCTCCTGACCTCCAAGATATTCCCCTCCTTTCCTTAGGGAGTTCAGGGTCTGGTTAACAGGTTTTCTCTCCTGAATTCCTACCCTCATACTAGAGGACTTCACCATATCTATATATCTCTATATCTTATCTATATCTCTATAGATATAGATAAGATATAGAGATATATAGAGATATAGATATATGTAGATATATAGATAGAGATTATATATAGACAGATATATCTAGATAGATAGATAGATATATACATACGCTCTCAAATGCCCTAGCTTCAGTTCCTCAACTTACTTAATTTCCTATGATGTTATCATCCTACCCACATGTACAGCACTTCCATATTCATGAACTCTGAAATTCCCTTATCTAAGGACAATATATTGGCATTCAACTTCTTCTTATGCCTTGCAACCCAAACCCTGGCTTTTTTCAGTCTGTCCTCATGCCTGGAATGCTTTCCCTCCCCTTCTCTGCCTCCTAGCACCATTCAAATTTTACCTAAAACCCATCATTTATGGGAAGTCCTTCCTGATCCAACTGATTCTAGTGCTTTCCCTTTATTATCTCTAATTTATTCTAGATAATCTTGTTTGTACATAGTTGACATGTTGCTTCATCTGTTAGACTCTGAACTCCTCCAGAACAGACTGCTTTTTACATTCTTTGTACTCTCAACGCTTTAGCACACTGCCCAGCACATAGTAGGTGCTTAACATGTTTCTTGACTATTACTGGGCATTTTCCACTAGAAGTAGTTTATTTTTTTACTTGTCAGCCTGCCCAGTGAGCATGAACATGTTCACTTTTATCCCATCTAATCTACTGTCCAGAAGGCCTCCTCATCCCCATTCCCTAAAAAACCCACAAAGTTTACTGGGGGGTTTTTTTTGCTCCTCTTTAGATTGAAAGCATGTAAAGATGTAAGCTTGTAGGATGTAAGATGAATTACAGATGGAAATTGGGAAAATAAACATTAATCAGATATATCAAAAGGAAAGTTAGACATTTGGAAATAACTACCTAAGTTCTATAAAAATTTAGCTATAAGAATGATTTTAAATTTGCTTATCTGGAAAATAAATTTAATAATGTTGTTCTTAGCACAGTGTCTGACACATAGTAAACACCTAGTAAATACCTGCTGACTAACTCCTGAATGATCCAACTTAATTTCACAAATGCTTTGATATCCTGTGTCTACAATATTCATTATGCTTACTAAGTTCTAAAAGCAGACCATTCCAATTCCAAAAGTTGAAATTAATGCTTTATGTGAAATACTGCTTACCTGGATTCTTCAGGTTTCACTGCATTTGCTAGGAATAAGAAGAGAAAAAGATTGCCTCCAATTAGTCTCACAACCATTATTTAACTGCTCATCAAAACAAAAGCGTTACTTGAAAACACTGTACAGAAAAAGAGCACTACTGTTAAGGAACTAGGCACAATCTCAGGGAAGATTTTCCTTTGACAAGTATATCAAATCTTCACTCTCTGACAGTGGGAATCAGAAAAGCAGGATAGGTTGGAAATAATTTTTTTTAAAAATCAGCATAAGAGATGAAATGGATTCAAAGGCAGACACTATTACTTACTATTCCTGTAACCAGAAAGTTACAGTTTCTGAATCTCAACATCCTCTTTTGCAAAATAGGAACAATGCCATCTTCTCCACTTACCTCAATTATAAGAATTAAACTACATGGTGTAAAAATAAAGGACTGTGTAAATATGAGTGATTGACATGGGCCACTTAGTCTCTATCTAGCACAGACAACATATTCTCCACTAACTCATGAAGCAGTGAGTACACAAGAAAGCTACAGACTTGAATTCATTCCAGTGAAAAATTATTTTAGTTAAGGAAATAAGGGGATAAGCCTTCTTAAACATGATCCAATGATCTTGTAATCAATACTCCAACACAAATTATACAAGATACATGAGTTAACAGAAACACGATTGTGAGTAATGGCAGTGCTAATGGTTTCAGTCACATTCTACCTCTCGTCTGTAGCGTTCGTCGGGAATACCGTTTGCTGGGTCGTCTTTCAAAGGATGTTGACCTTCTTGCTTTATTGGTTTTTGTGGTCTGATACTCAGTTTTCCCACTATAATAAAGTAAAACAAATTATGAGACACAACAGTAAATTCCCAGTTGAGAAAAACCTGATACACACTACACAGACAAATACATTTGCCAGCTCATTTTCAAAGCCTCAGCTTAGGTTTCATCACTTCACATTTAAGAAATTATCAGTGGCTCTGAAATTATGTGGCAGACAAGGTACCAGTGAAGAAAGACTATATTTCTCAGAATGGTGTAGGCACTTACTGACAGTACACTGCACGTTTGGCTTTGAGAAAAAGGACCACAAAGAAAGAGGAAGAGAAGAGAATTTTCCAGGAGTGAGGCAGACACAGGCAGCAACTATTGCATTTCCAGGGCAAACAACAGGGGGTTCCTAAGCTTAGCCATGCCCTAACAGAATGGGGCTGGAATGCCAGCGGCAACAAACAAGTACTTAAGGATTGCTAGAGCAGGATGTGCTGGCTGGGCTGCACACATGAGCAGGGACCACAAACTGGGGGCAGGGAAACAGTTTCAAATCAAACCATACCATCAAACCATACTACAGGCACTTTCCTTTTAATGTTGTGAATGCACTCCTTGCTACTGGAGTCTGAGTATTACCTATGCATTATCTGTCTTTTAATAATAAAGACATGTATTTTCAACATGTTCACCAAATGCCTTGGTGGCTAATAGGTGAGCTGATAGAACAACCTAGAAAATGAGGTAAATTCTGGTGTTACCAGTGGAAACCTTGAGTGGGGTATTACCTCTCTAAATGGAGATGTTATGTTATTCCTGAGATGGGATAAGCCTATGGACAGCTGGACAATGTTTAATTATTATTATCTTAAGCCTTCACTTTTTTTTTGTTTGTTTTTTGGTGAGGCAGTCAGGGGTAAGTGACTTGCCCAGGGTCATACAGCTAGTAAGTGTCAAGTGTCTTGGACCAGATTTGAACTCAGGTCCTCCTGATTCCAAGGCTGGAGCTCTATCCACTCAGCCACCTAGCTGCCCTTAGCCTTCACTCTTTAGGCATTCTCTTGGAACTTGGGGGATGGGGTAATGAGTACAGCGGTGGGCAGAAAGGAAAGGAAATTTATACTATCATGTCCCAGTCCATGTGTACCTGAAGAATGATTTAATAAACTTGACTATCTCAAGTCCAAATGCCTCACCCTCATTAAATGATTTAAGAACTTGAGATTTTTCTTTCTTTTGGAGGACAATGAGGGTGAGGCAGAAAATGAGTTTGCTTTTGCAGTTAATTGTCTTCATGGCAGAGTGGATTAGAGAGCTGGTCTCAAAGTCAAAAAAGCTGAGTAAAAGTCCAACCTCTGACAAAGGAAATTACAAGTCTCATACCTGTCCCTATCCCTATTCAGAAATATTTAAGAAAATCATTCTCTTCTCCCAACTTCCAAGCTACTAACTATAACAGAGAATGACCTCTGAAAAATTTCAGTGAGAAGAAACTCTGCTTTGTAAGCCAATCCACACACTATTGTTGTTTTAAATATTAAGTAGAAAAACACCCATGATTCTTTAGAGTACATTCTAAAACCTAAAATTTAATTCTTCTTATCCATCCTTTCCAATACTTCGTACAGTTTTCTTATGAATTCTGAGCCTCTAAATGCAAACCACTTTTCTTCCCTGCTCAGGTGACAAAAAAGCCTTTAGGGCCTCACATTCTGTCTATAAAAGAAGTGGACTGAACTAGGATATCAAGATTCTTTCTATTTATAACATTCTACAATTCAATGAAAGACACCAAGTATAACAAGAAATTGACCTGTATCTGAACCGTGAACCTAAACGAATAAATCCTGATCGACTAGACCCCTTCTGAACGGGTCCTCTGAGACGAAAGAAAGCGTGATGCTCCACAGCACATTTCCATAAATGTTTGCAAGCTTTGGGGTGCTCTAGTCTAAAGACAAATGTGTGCTCCTGCTCTTTCCCCTGGAAAAGAAAAAAATTATTCAAGACAGATCAGGCCAAAAACATATACAATATTGAGTTACAGAAATATTAACATTTATTTTTATCTAACTATTCAGACTATTCTCAATTTGGACAAACTAAGATAAACACTTATTTGTTATCTTCCAACTGAGTCTGAAGGAGTTCAAGGTAAGTGGTTTGGGTTCCTATACAGTGTATGGTTACACTCTCACAAGATATTCTCTCCTGTTTCACTTAGGTGACCTCATTGCACAGATTTGCATATATGAAAAAAATTCTCCTTGGCACTAAAGATTAAGAGGAATCACTATGAGACTACCATAAAAATGGGGAAGCGTGTCATCTAATTCAACTCTACTCCTTTCAATTGAGATGAATTAGTTTGTCGGCTTTCTTGAAAAGAAACTGTTAAAATGAAAATATCCAAGTATAAGTTTTAACAACAATATTTTAAAAAGCCTAAGTTAGTCAGAGCAAATACCATTATCTTTTGTGGCCTAGGGTTGATTGCTTTACTGTATTTCCAGGCTAGAGCAAACTCAAACTGGCTACTGGCACAGTTTACTAGCTTTTCATTACTGGGTACTCTCCTAAACAATGTTAGCTTTCTTATAAAACATGCTACAATGAGAAGTACATCATAAAATTCTCTAGAACCTTCAAAAGTTAAGAAAGATGCATGTCTTTGATTTTACTTGTAAATCAAATTGTACACAGTTCATCCAGCTAAGATAAAGGCTATGATATCTATTTAGTATGATGAAGCTATCTCTTAGACGATCAGTCTCTACTGAGAGACAACATAGTTAAAATCATAACCCATATAAAGACTAAAGACCTATTAGGATGTTTGCTTTTCAAGAAAGATAATTTGGCAAGCATCACTTTTATATTAATCCTACTTTTGTTTTCACAACACTAGTATTGATCCAAGAATGTCTAAGTTACCATGCATGAGTCATCACAAGAAATCCAACAAAATAAATACATACTGAAGACAAGTGACCAGAACCCAAAACTTAAATCAAAATGCAGAGTACATTTCAGATATTCTCACTGGCAAGAAAGGCAAAAAATATTACTAAATACAGAAAATTCCCTAACCCTTAAACAAAATTTAAAATGTCCACTGCCCTTTCCCAACTAGAGAAGAACTGAACTGTGCTATATTCACATGTAACTTCAGGGTCTTCAGTTGTTGCATAGTGCTTACAGCAAAAAGTTACGTTCTCTACCAAGAATATGTGATTGGAAAGCACACAGATGACATGTACTATCCTGATGATGTCTTTACCAGGAGAGACAAGGGAAAGATTAGGATTACTACAGGCTTCTATCAGGACGCCCAATTTTAAAAAGATTTACTGAGAACCATAATACAGAATAATGGGGCAGAGTAATCATCTCACTGAGTGGCTGGGTTGCTTACATGACCAAGTCATTTGTGCATAAATAACACCTAGCAAGATTAAGACCACACCTAAACACAATTCAGGCACAATTACTAGAAGCCAAAATCCTCTTTAGAGACCTGGGGCAACCTCTTAATTTTACACCTCTGAAAAAGGACTTAAGAGATCGAGTATTTCAAAAATTTCATTCTGTATATATATGGAAACCGGAGCCTACCAAGACTAAAAGATTTGCTCAAAATTACAGAGGTAACAGAAAAGCTGTTACAAGAACTCAAATAGTTGGGTTCCTGTATCCTGCCTCCAAGTACTTCCTTCATCATAAGCAGTACACCAATTCATGCTTATGTGCCACTGGCTGGCCAAAAAATTAGAATGGAGAAAGGATAGAACAAAAAAGCAATTCAATTTAATTTGAGAAATATTTATTAACTTCCTACTAACTATTCGATTAAGTTCAAACATTTATTAAGCACATACTACATGTAAGACACTTGCAGAAGTGATGAGGATATAAGGATAAAAACCACTACTGGTCTCTTCCTTACTGGGGAGACACAATCTATATAGGAAGAAATAAATAAAAGATAATTTGAAGAGGGAGAGAACAGTAACAACTAGAGGAACCAGGAAAAGCTTCTCATAGGAGTGCCAACGTAAAATAAACCTTAAAGTAAGCTAACAGTTGGTTCTAAGAGATACAGATGAAGAGGCAGAAGACTCCAAAGCTTTTGGAAAACCAGTGTAGCAAAGGCACAAAGATGAGTGGTGAAATGCTGAGGTCTGGGAGCAGCCAGGAGATCGCTCTGGATAAAATAATATGTAAAGGGAATCGAGGGTGGGGGGTGGAAGTTGGCGACAGACAGGTGAGAACTTTAAATGCCAGGCAGAGGAGGAGTTACCCAATGAGGCATGAGCATTCAGCACGACAGAGGAAAGTGGAAGAGGGGAGCTGGGAGTGTAATTGGGAGCTGTAACAAGAGTGCAGGGAAGAGGGGCCTGAAACTGAGGGTTTTAACTGTCCACATGGAGGGAGAGATGTGGATCAAGCTAAAATAAAAAAGAAATGGTCCTTGCAAAGAGATGTGAGAAAGGCAGAATTAAAGGAACTGGCATATTACTAAAGAGGTGCAAGGAGTGAAGAAGAGTTGAGATGGCAAACCCAGGGGACTGGAAGAATGGTGCTGCTCTCAATCAAAAGGAGGGAAGCCCAGAGAAGATGGAAGTGTGGAGGGTTAGATGATGAGTTCCTGCTGTGGGTATTTTATCAGAAATGTTTATGGGATGTCAAGATGAATATTTCAAGGAGGCAGCTGTCAGTAGAAGGAAGAATTGAGAGATCAAAGCTTAACACAGATTTGCAGGTTGTTTGCACAGTTGTAAATGAACCCATGAGATCACTGAGAAGAGGATATAGAAAAGGGCCCAGGATTGAGCTTTGGGGGAGTGAGGAGAAGATGAATAAAAAGACTGTAAAAAGTACAGAAAAGGGACAGTCAGAGAGGCAGAAGGAGGCAGAGAGGCAGCACAAAGGTCAAGGAAGGAATATCAAAAGCTGCAAAGCTGTCACATAGAGAAGGCCATTGGATTGAGTGGCTGAGATCTCAGTTTTTCATGTGGCTTTGAAGCCTCAGGTTCCCCACCCCTGGACTAGAGGATTCTAAGGTTCATCAGAGCACAAAATCTATGGTCCCATGAAACATAGTTTCTTAAACAACTCAAAAGGACATTTACATGTATTAACAAGGAAATAATGAGTACTTTCATAGATTTTATTTTTTTAATACAGAAGTTATATTTTGGGATGGTTTGCCCAGAAAAAAGAACAGGATTAGATCAGTAGTTCCAAAGCAATGAGCTGAGACCCTCTGGGGAGAGAAGAGGGTTCTTCTTACCACAAAGGGTCCTCAATATCCAAGTGTTTACCGAAAACTGCTGCTTTTATTTAACACCAATAAAATATGCAGTTTGAATGCAAACACTATCCAATGAGCATCCTAGAAACTTTGTTCTGTTACCATGGACTTTGCATAGCTAAACTTCACATGTACTTTTTCATATGTTCATTCATTAAAAAAAGGTCTGTGCACCTGAATACACAAAATAATTGGGAACCACTAGCCTACCTCATGGTAGTTTATAAAACTCCTACCTGTTCATCATCTTCCACAACTACCAAAGTTAATTTGTTCTTCTTGAAGTCCAATCTGGTAATCTTGGGCCTATGAGAATAAGAGGCAGGTTAATAATATTTATAAAGGACTTAAAGACTCAAAAGTTCACCCCAACTTCAGAACTCTCTTGTTCTAAGTAAAATTTTTCATTTTAATTCTAAATTTAAAAAAAGGAAAAAAGGAAAATTGACTCTTATCCAAAGTTGTAAAAACAAGAAGTCTGAGCTGGAGAACATCTTGTATTAAAAGATTTCATGGTAGCTGTGAGCACATGTGCCGGAAGGCACATGTCTCTTTCCAGTAAACTCCTCACCAATCCCCAGGCCACTTTGGAAAGTTACCTGGATGGTACGGGTAACTCTAGGGGATGAGACTGACACACCCTCTCCAGGACTAGAGTGCAGGGAATGAAAGGGTATAGCTGCATGGTAGGTGGCAAAGAGATGGCTGTGGAGTAAAGTGAAAAGTAATTGGAGCAAGCCTAAAATGTAGTGAGTACAGAAACTTTCCGAATCAAAATAACCTCCCCTGGCCACTCTGCTGTATGTGCTACCTCTCCTTATTAGAATGTAAGCTTCTTGAAGGCAAGGATTATTTTCACTTTTGTATTTGTTTAGCACACTTCTTAAGGGCATAGTAAATAATATATAAATGGAAAACCTTTATGAATAGGGATAGGGAGTCTTAGAGAGTTGCCTAGAGGAGTGATGTTAATTAAAATCAAGTTAGAAATAGATCATTAGGAACATACTGACTTAGAAAACCACAAATTAACATTATCTATGTTGTACTATATTTTCATTTATTTTGTTAAACACTTTCTAATTGCATTTTAATCTGATTCAGGCTAAGACAGCTTTCTGAGGACTCAGTTTGACACTGAAAAATTAAGTGACTTCCCAGGGACTCACAGCTAGTATGGGTCACAAACAGAGGTGGGATTTAATCCACCAGACCTTCCTGGATACAAGGCCAGCTCTTTTTCCACTATAAGATATCATAAACATTTAGGCACAAGAAGAAAGAAGGATAAAATTCTGGGAACTAAAAGCGAATACCCAATGTATGGATCAAATTATTTTGTTCCTAGGAAAGCAGCAACGTACTAAAAATACTATAAAGAAAAAAAATAACACAGATGTAAGGTAGAGACTATAAATCATACAAGTGAAATCTCATATACTGCGATTCCAAATATTCTAGAAATTTGCCATCCAACCCTATTTTGTCTCAAAGCCGGTACACAGTGAAAAGAGTGCCTAACTTGAAGTTGCACAATCTAAGCACAAATCCCAACTCTGTGACCCTGGGCAAAAGCTACTGTATCTCTCGGGACCTCAATTTTCTCACCTAGAAAATGAGAGGGTTGGAATAGATGCCTTTTGAAGTCCCTACTACCTCTTCATTTATATTGCAACAAACGTTTCATTCAGCCTACTAGGTCTTTTTTTTTTTTGGTCTACGAAAACACAAATATCTCTAATCTGATAAAGAAAACTAATGAATAAATGAAATTTGCTTTATACCACCAGGGGTCAGCAAACTATAGCTCCTTGGTCTACTCCAGTTATGGCCAATGAGCTAAGAAGAGTTTTTACATTTTAAAAAAATTTTTATTGTATTTAAAAATGTAAAAACCATTCTTAAATTCTAAATCATACAAAAACAGCCTACTGATTTGGCCCTCCAGCAGTACTCAAGTTTGCTGAAATACTTCTACTCTGTATTAGCTATGAGATTTTTTATTCACACACTTAAGAGGGGAAGGAGAGGAAAAGGTTGGGAATGCAAGTTAAGAGGGGGAATCAAAGTTAAGATAGTAGACAAATTGCTAAATAGAGTCAAAAATTCTTGTGCTTAAATAATGCCTTCTAATGCCTATTAGCCACGTAACCATGGCAAATCACTTAACTACTCTAAGCCTCAGGAAAATCTTTATAAGAATATAAATGAGTTGAGATCTGTATCAGTAATGGGATAAAACCACAGATTCTTTCTATGTCCTGACATATCTTTTATATATCTTTATACATCTCTGTAATGACCTTCCATATCTGAATTTGGAGTCTATCAACAGAAGCATATTAACTGGCCACAGGAATACTGTCTTTACTCGTTATGGCTTTGCCTCTTTTGGCAGATGACTTAAAATTTTGTTCTAAAAGACAAATCAACATACTTTATCTACATATATCTACATATATCTCAGCATTGGGGAATGTTCATATTGCATTCAAGTGAAAAGAAAAAAAAAGCAGAGTAAAACATCTTTAAATCTATTTTAAGTAAGCTTACCAAAAGAATAATCCAATTTTGGTTTCGCCTTCAAACACAAGGACTCCTGTTGGGGTGAGGCCTAGACTATAGTCATTTCCATCTCGAGCCTAATTTTAAAAGACAAAGATAAATATATTTTCACACATATTAACTGTACATAGGTTAATTAAATATATATTCAAAGAGCTAAACTCTCTAAAATAACTTTCAGAGGGAAACAAAAATTTTATCTATTATTTCAACCACTAGAGCACAAGTTGCATTTCAAACGAAAGTGCTTTAACAACCAATTCCAAACATATTTTTCACAGATCCTTCCCATATTCTTTTTCCCTGAGTAAATCAGGAAAAATTGAAAAGAAAATTGTCACTGGCAAATGAAAGGAAAATAATACTGTTTTCATGTCTTTGCTGGTTTGCCAAGTCCCTTCAAAACTAAAAGCACTGCATCTTGTTTTCAGAAATTATTTTTTTCCTTTGAGAACAGTTTAATTTCTGAACTGAAAAATGAAAAGCAAGCCTACAACAAGGACTTAATAAGTGCTTTTTCATCAATCCATTCAAGATACTTTCAACAAATGGAAAAACTAATTACAGGAATACCTGCAGGTTCTCATGGTCTAATCTCACTTATCTACAATTTGCAAAATGGCATTTAGATTTTAGATATTATTTTCCCTTTTTGTTAGGAGACTGACTTTTAAAATATCAAAGCCATTTTGGCTTGCAACAGAGAAATTATCTTTTTAAAAATATAAAATTATTGCTCCAAGACTATATGCATGTAACTTATTTCAATATTTCAATACTATAATTTTGAAGATATGTATGGCATTACCTCCTTAAATGCAGATTACAACCCCTTTGTAACTTTGCAAACTGTCTTAGAAAAGTGCTTGAGCAAAAAAATTCATCACATTACAACCAAACTGAGAATGGTCCTCTTCTAATCTTTTTTGACAACAAAAAAAGAACATCAACTGGCCCATATATAATGTATTGTAACTATTTCGTGTGAGTCATATACTACGTTATTTTAAGTACTTCAGAATAGTCCAGAACTGAACATCGCATGTCAATAAATAGGTACATGACAAGAGGAAAAAGTATCTCAAGGTCCCACTTGCCTTCACTACATGCATATCCACTCCATACATTTCCAGCCATTTGGCTTTGTTCAGATAGTTGGTCTCAGCCTGTGCTGGTGTTTGACCCCTGAAATTAAAGGAAAAAAGTAATCACCAAAAAGTCTCAAACTAAACATTAAATAACCCTTTAGGTACATAAGAACAATGGTCAATGTGTGCGCTATGCACTAGCTCTGGTACCTGTATTCTTTCCATTTCTCAAAAATAGCTAGCTCCATCTCTTCTGTCTGAATGGGCACAAACCTGAATTCAGACACAAGCTCAGGGCCGTGTTCAGCAAGATCATAGTCACCAAGCTCAGCTACAAACACAAAAGTTACATGAAGTTATATTTTGTTCAATACAAGTCAGATTACTTCATGCTAAATGTGTCTTGAAGGTCAGCTTTGTCAACATAAAATTCTACAGAAATTGAGGACATCCAGTTTATTCTCATGCAATTACATATCCATCCTAATCCTACCGGATCAGATAAACATATCATAAAACTTACTAATAAATGGATAAAAAGCATTTCTTTTAATTTCAAGTAAACATATATTACAAAAAAGTCTAACTTGAACACCTCTGGGCCTCCCAGGAGTAAATGAGCCCTTAGAAAAGCACGGTTTTGGGGGCAGCTAGGTGGCGCAGTACATAGAGCACTGGCCCTGGATTCAGGAAGACCTGAGTTAAAATCTTGCCTCTGACACATAACACTTACTAGCTGTATGACCCTGGGCAAGTAACTTAACCCCACTGCCTAACCAAAAAGAAAAAAAAACCCATTTTTTGATAAAAACACAGCAAGTACAAGAAAATGTACACAATTCTTCAAGTCAATTGACAGGCATCAACTTCTACTCCGTGCAAAGCAGCAGCATGATTTTACAGAAAAATCTCTACATCTGGAGTCAGGTGACTTAGGTTTGATTACCTTGATTAAACTAGTATGGTTAGTTGGACATCAGTTTCCCCATTTATAAAATTACATAGAGAAGGCTTCCTGGAATGATAGGGAAGGGAAGACAGGTCTAGGGCTGTGCCTCTCAGGATGCATCCCACTCCCCACAGTCCCAGTGTGAGTATACGAGCTGTTTCCACATTTGCAGCTGGTACAGTTACCAGCATGCTGGCCTCTTGGGGCAAGGTTATGCTCAGGGATCAGGTTGTGCACTGAACTATTGCTACACTCCCCTCCCCAGAAAGCACTCTCCTATTTATCCTTAATCAGACAGGCACTACTGAGCTCTCAATGGGGAAAAGTGACACTGATGATCTACTCTACACAAAGCTCATGGTAAATACCAATCTCCCTAACATTGTGTCCCAGAAAGGGAGCCAGAGGGGTGCATGGGCCCCATCTGGTCTGGTGGCTATGAAGATCTATCATGTTCATGACTGGTATTTCTGACCCCACCCTGCTTTCTGTATCCTTGTTTAGTTCCTGGGTCTCTTTTCTACAGGACTGCTAGTCAAAGCATCTGTCCTTAATTTCTTCAGCAAGCCTGTTGAATTAGAAATTATTTACAAAGAGTCTATTATATATAGCATAATGCTAAAGTCCTACTCTGATACCTCATCATGGCAAGGAAATAACCTGGAAGGTCATATCAAGCCAGAATGGTTTCAAGTACACATGCAGTGGTTGATTGGGTCTATCATCTGAAAGCCAAAGTAATGTACGATCAGAAACATATACTATACTAATGTATAGAGGGGAAGTTTTTGGTCTGCACCTATGATACTTTCTAGTAAATTCTCAACAATAAAATCACAAACATATGCAAAAATGTGTAAGACACAATCCCTGACATCAATGAGCCTGTAATCTATATGGGTATAAAAGATTTACATGAGAGACTAAGAGAAGGTATAATAAAGCCTAAAGAATGATAATTAATGCAAAAATACTTCGACAGACTGCCTTCAGTCTCTTTAAAAGTCTTTCAATAATTCTATAAATCACTATCTTAAAGACTTAAATATTTCCCCTTACAGATAGAAAAACTGAAGCATGGAAATGTATAAAGTAAAAGAAACTTTCTTAGATGGGTTGCTTTTGATAATAATTACAAACTAATATTTTGAAAAGCTAGGGTCAGACCATGGCCACACACAAATAATTAAGCTTTAGAGAACGTGAAACTTAACTGGCGTGTGAGTGAATTTTTCTTTTCCTTCTTGGGGTACAGAGAGACAGGAAACACAGATAAGGATTCATTCAGGGTCAACTGTAAAAGGAGTACTGAAGATTTCCACATTCATGCTCCCTGTTCTGTATATAAAATCTAGATCCTTTACCAATGGGACACAACAAGGAGAGAAACAGCCTCATAACTTTGAGACTAGGTAATGAATCCTAAAAAGCTAATCCCTATCACTAAAAAGCCACCTAGCTATCCCATAGTCAATAAATACTCCTCCATCATTCCCAGGAATTAAGTAAATTTAGAATTAAAAAAAACCAACTTAAAGCTGCTGAATAAATATCAACTTATTAATCGTTCTCATACCATCTTTTTAAATTAGCATGGCATTATTGGAAAAATGGGAGATTGAGTCAGAGGGCTCTGCCACTTAGTACTTGAGTAACTTTGAGTATATAACTAGTTTCTCTGTCTGTTTCCTCAACTATAAAATGAAAATGATAGACTAGGTCAACTCTAAGTTCCCATTTGGGTCCAAATCTTTTGATTTTTGAAATCAGGCAGCACAAGTGTGATTCCAACCCTCATGGTCCTTGACCCTCCATGAGTTGGCAGCCCCCTTCCTACCTCCCTCATCCCCTGGAATTCACTGCTCACCTCAGGCAACTGAAACCATAGAAAGTGAAACAATGGATAAGGGGTGACTACTGTATTTACTTTGGTATCGATATAAATCTTCCCCTAAAAACAAAACAAGTATGTTCCCCCACTTATCTTGCTCCTTCCTCCCCTGGTCCCCTACTTTTGAGGAAAAAAAAACAACAGAGGAAATAGAGGCAGATAAAGTTGCTAAAAGCAAGGGAGAATTAATTATCCTTAAATAGTTATGTCCAAAGTGGAGATGCAATACAGTTTTTAGAACACAATTTTTTGGATTCTTTGCTGTTCTCTTTAAATTCTTTGACATAAACAACAACCAAAAAGGCTAAGATAGCCTTTATGAAGAAGAATAACCCACCTTGCAATGTATAAGCCGCCAACTGGACTGCTGTGTCAAAAGGACATTCCAATCTGAAATCAAAATAATGATTTGTTTAAAAACAATCTTCTTTAAATAAATGTAAGCCTTTAATAGTGTATTCCTTTGGCGAAGGCTGAAGGAGCAAAATGGAACAAACAAGAGACACCTTATGAAAAAAGTATTTTGGTATCAGAATATCTTAACCTGGGGCTTGAAGTTGCATTTTTTTCTCCCTAAATTTTGATAACTGTTAGTATAATTGGTTTCCTTAAGATCCTACAAATTTTTATTTTATGTAATTAAAAACATGATTCTAAGATGCTGTCCGTAGGCTTTAATAGACTGCTAAACAGGTCTATGACACAAAAAAGTTAAGAACATTTGTTCTATATAAACATTACTTCCCAAAAACAGTAAAGAACCACCACGTAATTCAAGTAACTAGTACTTACTTTCCACTGAGAATATCTTGTTTTAACTGAAGAACAAATAAATACCTAGAAAAAGCAAAGGCCAACAATTTGTATTAGCCAAACATTTGTTCCACTATGGAATAATCCCATACCCTAGTGGGAGAGAAATACTCTTATCAGAGAATACACATTTTAAAAAGAGAATCTGGACTTTTTCCTGAGTCTAAGCCAGTGCCCAAATACACTGGACAGGATTAGAGACTTAGAGCTAGAAGAGATCTTAGAAAACATCTAGAGGCAAACTGCTTCATTTTGCTAAGGAGGAAACTGAGGTCTAAAGAAGTTCAATGACTTGCTCAAGGTCCCATAAAGATAGAACTTGAACCCTGCTCCTTGGACTCTAAATCTAGTCTTTATACCACTGTACCATACTGCCTCCAAGTTGCTTGGAAAACTTGCTCATTTATGATCAAACCCCAAAATCATGTACACACTCTGCTAAGAATGTCAGTTAAAACAAATACCATAATTGTGGTTTTTGATTCATCCAGCCTGGCATTTCACATGATGTACTTCGCATATAAATTACATAAATAGCATGACAATATACAGTCATACTTCTCTTCTAATCTTAAACCAATCAGTTGTGCCTTGTTCAGTTCTAACTGTTGCTTCTTGGCCCACATACAGCTTCCGCAGGAGACAAAATGATCTGGTACTGCCATCTCTTTGAGGACTTACCACATACTGTAATCTAGACAGTCAATGAAGCAGAAGCAGATGTTTTATTTTCCTGAATCTCTCCTGCTTTCTCCATAATCCAGAAAATGTTGGCAATTTGGCTTCTGGTTCCTCTGCCTCTTTGAAAACCACCTTGCTCTCCTGGTAATTCTTGATTTACTTATTGCTGAAATCTAGCTTGCAGAATCTTAAGCATAACTTCAGTGTGTAACATGAGAGCCATTCCTCAGTAACTGGAATTTTCCTTGGCACTGCCCTTCTTTAGGACTGGAACGTTTTCCTACCCAGTGGCCCCACTGAGTTTTCCAAATTTGCTGGCATATTGAGTACAACACTTTAATAGCACCATCTTTTAGGATTTTAAGTAGCTTAGTGAGAATTTACTAGCTGTAGGACCCTGGGCAAGTCACTTAACCTGTTTGCCTCAGTTTGCTCATCTGTAAAATAAGCTGGAGAAGGAAGTGGCAAACCACTCCAGTACCTTTGCCAAGAGAACCACAAGGGGTCACAAAGAGTTGGACACAACTAAACAACTAAAGAACATTTCTTACAGCACAATAGTATTCCATCACAATCACATACCACAATTTGATTGGCCATTCCCTAACTGATGGGCATTCCCCTCAATTTCCAATTCTTTGCCACCTCTAGGAATACCATTCATCTACCCTGTATGTGTCTTGTATGTGCTCAGTCATTTACAGCTAGCTCCTCCATTAAAGTGTGAGCTCTTTGAGACCAGAGGATTTCGTTTTTTTACCTTTCATTGTATCTCTAGCTCAAAAAGAGCTGCCATTAAAAAAAAAATAGGGTCACACAGCTAGTGTCCAGTGTCCAAGGCCACATTCGAACTCAGGTCCATCTGACTCCAGGGCTGGTGCTGTATCCGCTATGCCACCTAGCTGCCCCTTGCTATAAATATTTTTGCACATAGGAGGTCTTTTTCATTTTTCTTTGATTTCTTTGGGATACAGACCTGATACTGGTATTGCTGGGTCAAAGGGTATAGACAGTTTGATAGTTCGTTGGGCATAGTTCCAAATTATCCCCATGCTATTTCAAAGTATATCACTCAGCTCACAGACTCCAGACACAGCAGTCTATTGGCTGTGGTGCATTTCTCCAATAGAGCTTAGCAAGTTCTTTCAATGACTCCACAACAGAATAGAAAAAGCCAAATAATACACCAACTCACTTCCTATAAGAATGACTCCAGGTACAATGAATGGCCCCTACAAGTTAAGTGTCTGACCTCAGAAATAATACATCACTGCTGTTCCACTGAAAATCCCTCTCCTGTAAGGCCACAGTCCTTTCTTGGGAAATCTATTCAGTAAAAAGTCAGATCCATTTCCAGTCTTATACAATTGTACATGAACTACAAGTATAGTTTACTAAAACTAAGACAAAATTAGAATCTCGAACTATATATCCAATTCTCTTTTGATTATCTCACACTATTCCCTGTACAATCTTATTCACTAAGATAGGTTAGCCAGGACAACTTTAAGCAATGCGTTTAACTTGCATAAATTGCTTAAAATGCACTCAAATATTCAAACCCAATATTGTGAGTTTGTTACTTCAGACATACAAAATTTTCCACCCTCCCATCTACTGGGGTTAGTTGAGGTCTAGATATATTGATGGATGGTGAAAGACAGTAAAAATACATGACCCTGAATGGCAGTTTTGCTGTAGTTCTCCATTCACCTCCATATCCAAGACATAAAAGCACCATCCCCAGATGTTCCTTTAAACTAGAAATAATTCTAGGAGACAAGAGAAGAGAACAAAGGAAAGCTAAAGCTCTGAAATCAGGGCCACAGGAAAGTCGTGGGCAAGGTCATCCTGCTACAGCTCTTACAACAGAAATCATGAATACAAATTCAAGCTGGTGAACTTATTACCTTGTCAGCTCTTCACGAAGATTGTTTGGTTCTGAGGAGTAAAACTTAACACGGAGGTGCAGACAATATGGTGAACCAACTAGACAAGGTGGGGGAAAAACAAAAGAAACAACCTGTCAGTCTATTAATCAAGTCAGGATTCTTAATTAGTTTCATCTCCAGGTTTGGAAGAACCAGTGAGTGCTGTACAATAACAGATATCCTTGTCATGTTTGAAATCTATCAATCAAACTTACTAATATGGTTAAGAACAATTATACAAAATAGTATTTGATAATAATGAAGTCACTATTCCACAATCCTCTTGCCATTAAAAATAGGTTTGTTTTGAAAAAAACACTGCTCCACAATAATCCCAATATTCCAGTGCTCTATAAATCATGCAAGAGCTTTAAGTCTTGGCAACATATTTAACCAATGCTCTGGAATCCCGCTGGTCTATATTCATCAAGGCACTTATATATGCCCTTTATTAGTGTTCATGGTAATGTCTCCTGCATACACTTAAACTTACTTCAACTGAAGGGAGTTTACTTTGGAGCTTTATTATTTTTTAAAAGATATGTGTAAAGCCTGAAGTTACAGAATATGGAATAAATTCTGTGTTAGTGACTGTTTTTTTCCCCTGGCTATGTTTAGGAGGAATCAAAATTTTATATTAAACTGTTTTCAATTTGTTATTCTTAATAAAAAACTAATAATGTAACCCTAAAAGTTTCTGAAGACATTTTGAAACTACAAATACTGTCTGAAATCAAAAGGAAAAGTTCCAGGATGAACAATGGTCACACACACATCTATATAGCATATGCCTCTGTGTGTGTGTGTGTGTGTGTGTGTGTGTGTGTGTGTACCCATATTCACACACACATCTATATATGTATATGCCTCTGTGTGTGTGTGTGTGTCCCCATATCCATATCCACACACACACCCCCACACACAACTAGATAGATAGCAATCTCACTTTTTTATCTTCCCTGGCTGATTTTTATAATAGTTCTAAGAAAATCATCTTTCTGATAATGGACTTCCCTCCTTTCTAACTACTCCTTCTCCCCTCTCCCCTTCCTAAGCACAGTATTTTCATGCTGATGCTCAGCCAGGTATTAGTGAAGTACCACAGGCACTACCTTCTGGGATCAAGCTGTAAAAATAAACATGAAAAAGAAAAGGATTCAGGATGATTTCAAATATGCTATACCTTGTTTCTCCTAGTAAGCTAGAGTACACCCTTGTAATTCATGGATTCTAGAAAATAAATCAGGCTCCAAAGTGTACCCAAAACAATATAAAATACTTACTTTTAACTTGTTTTTTGATGCTTTTTGTACTGTCCAACCAATGCTGAAATAAACAATAAAATTAATTGAAGGTCTTACACAATTAAAAATAACTAGTATTTACCTCATACTTTATTTCTTAGCAAAGACCAAACCCCCTTTAATAAGGGTTAATATTTTACTTTTAGGATTTTCTTTAACCCAGGCAAAGCTGGGTATCAATCTACACTGACAGAAGGAATACATCCATGTCATGAACATCACAAGTCAAAAAAACTCATCTTTCGTATTCACTTGATTCAATGTCTATCATCTAATCAAATGATCTCTCTGTCTTTTATTGGCCAAATACTAGATAGTTTTGTAATCTGTTTTAAAGCAGGGGAAAAAAGATACTTTTCAACAGTTTTTCTCTTCTGTGTGCTCTTTAATCCTTCACCACTGTTTTTTCATGTAAATTACATTATGATTTTATCCAGATCTATAATGAAACCCCTCACTATGGAGCTTCCCCCCAGCCAAAAAAAATATTGTATTCTAACTTATCCTTCCTCCATCCAACAAGTAAACTGATTTTGCTTTACCCATGTCCCCTCCTCCTACTTCTTTCCCCTTTGTGGAATTCTAAATCATTGGTAGCTCCCCATTCCATTGGTAGCTCACCACAGAGGTGAGAAACCAGACTAGATACACAGGCGCCCGCCTCTCTATTAAATACCTAGGCAGCCTTGTCCCAAAACTATTCTGATGTATGGACCCCAGAGGTCTCATTCTAAACCATGTGTCAAGTGCTCTGAGAAGCCTCTTGAAAGATCATTTCATGTAGACTCCTTGTCTTTCCACGGCCAGAAGACCACAATGGAGTACTGCACATCTTCAGTTCCAATGCTTACAGGTCTTGCAAGAAGTACCAATTTAATTCAATATGTCTCAAATACGTATTAAGGTATCTATTATGTGAACAGCCCCATGCCAGGTTTCTCGAATATGGTCCTTCTCCTCAATGGGCTTTAATTCTACTGGAGGAAGATACAACATGTACATGAATAAGTAAATACAAGATCATTTGAGGAGAGAGAGGGTACGAATAACTAGGAGTATCAGGAAAAGCTTAGGAGTTAGCAACTGAATTGACTTAACAGAAGCTAAGAACTCTAAGAGGCAGAGAAATATGAGGGAATATATTCTAGACATCAAGGACGTCCTATGTAAAGCCACAAAGGTAGAAGACAGAATGTCAAATTCAGGAAACAGCCTCTAAGTCCCACTGGCTAAAAACAAAGTGTGTGAAGGGCAGTAATGTGTAATAAGGCTGAAAAGGTAGGCTGCAGCCAGAGTGCAAAGAATTTTAAATGTCAAGCTGAAGGTATTTACATTTTATACAAAATAGCAATAAGGAGCTGCCAGAGATTTTGGGGCAGCAGAATGATGTGACTAAACCTGTACTTTAGAATTATTTTGTTAACTGTGTGGAAGATGGATTAGAATGGAGAGAAGCTAGAAGCAGAAAAACCCATTAGGAGGCTACTGCTAAAGTACAGACAAGAAATGAAGGCTGGAATGAGTGTGGTGACTGTGTGACTGAAGAAAAAGAGACTGGAGTGAAAGACGTGGTGGAAGTAGACAAGACGTGGCAACTGACTAAGGTAGGGAAGACAGGCAAGGAGTCAAGGATGACATGGAGTTAAACCTAATGACCAGAAAGTTAATGCCTTCATCAGAAATATAACAGTCATGGGGAGATGCGTGCTTAGGGGAGGGAAAGTGAGTTCTGTTTTGGAAACTGAGCGTTTAAGGAGTTTTCCTGTATCGAGTTAGCCTGATCCTTGAGCAGTTAAGTACCATCTGTCTCCAGGATCATATTTAAAGTCTTTTCAGCTTGGCAAAACTAACCATAGTCTGAGCTCTGCTAACATAACCTTTGAAAACACAGAATTAACTGCAGGCCGCAATGAGGAACTGGAATATGATTTTCAAAGGTCCTACCTTTACCTTTGAGCGGCACAGCAGGTTATCAATGAAATAAACACACACACATTATAAAACTTAAATCCCTGTAACACTTACACACAACTAAATGTGGAAAATATATGCATACCAGACTTAGAGTTAAGAGAGACCTGAGATGAAATCCCATCAGTTCTTATTGTCTGGTTATGGGCAAGGCATCTAATTTTACTAAGCCTCAATTTCTTCACTTATAAAAAATAAAACCTATAGCATAGTACCCACCTCACTAGACTGCTTGAGGACACATCATAAGGTACTTAATAAATGACTGATCGATAAAATGCAAAATGTTCTACAAACCTTAAAACACTATAAATGTTACTTACTAATCAAGGCAGTGGCAGCTATTTGAGACCAAGTTTTTGTCTTCCTTCTTAAGGGGGAAAATATTATAGTTGGACTTGTCTTTACATCTTTGCTTTTCCCTTTACTTTCAGTAATCTTCTTTTAATTTTACCCTGTTAGACAAATCACCAAGAATTTATGATATCTAAAAGTTCAGAAATGAAGAGAGAAAAGGTCAGTGGTTTCAAGGTATAAAGTTCACTCACTAACCAAAAAGAAAGCAGACAGATAATTGAAATGACTCCTTTTCTCTACTATCATCATCCTTCTTCTTCCTCAAGAAAATACGAAACCTGCAGAGACTCAAGCACTAGAATATAAAATTGGATTCCAGAGTGAGAGAGTTCTCAGTAACAATCTCTTACAGAAAGGCTGGGAGTTCATGTTTGCTTATTCTCAAAGTCTGTTTTCTTTCATCTCCTCCACATTCCAGACCCAAGCTGTTTAGAGTTCAGAGACAGGCACTGAGAGTACTTCCCTTAAGTCAGTGTCTTTAGGACTTGCGTTTAAATTAACACGAAAAGATAAAAGTACTGTCATTCTAACCATGAGGATCTATGGCCTGGGACCCTAAGTGTTCCGTCTTCCCTCATTATACCTTCTTAAAGGGAATAAACCTGCTTTTAATCTCATTTCTGACAATCAAGCCAATCATTTAAAAACTCACATTGTCCTAAACTGAATTATGACTGGGGAGAAAAACCTGTATTTACTTACCTCTTAATGAGTTCTGAAATGTGATAAGTTCACATTCTAGAATAAATTCCTTGCTTGTTTGTTTTAAAGAAATAAGCACTCTATAATCACAACACTCCCAAATTACACATTGTATACACAGTAACAAAACCAAAGCTGTTTTTTCATATAATGAAGGGAAGTCCTGCTACTTCTTAACTTAAGGGTAAATGCTTAAAGACTAGAAGGCTGCTCAGCCATCATTGGAGATACCACATCTTAAATGCCAGCTCTTCAATCAATGAAACTTTCATTGCTTCTTTAAGGTTCAATTTGTACTCCGAATTGAAGTATTATAAAAAGTGTTATAAGAGCATAAAACGATAATTCCCAAGGACAGAATGATGTGCTTTTTGTTATATTCCTGCAGATCAGTTTATTCCTGATTTTATCATTAGTCTTTTCATAGAATTTCCTTTCTCCTTTCATTTTGAAAAAAAACCACGCATATCATTTAGCTTTCTTTATAGGGACACCAAAATTTATTAAGGAAATACAAGCAAACTAGATTTGTTTAAAGCCATGTCACCTTTTGGGGACAGAACATGTAACTGTATTTTAGAGATTTTTCTTTTAAAAAGTCAAGCAAATTCAGAAGACACTACATGATGTCTTATCAGATGTGAGTAAATTTTACAGGCAATTCATTTATTTTTATTACCAGATTATTTAAGAGAAACATTATTTCCATTTAGTCTTTCTTAAATTTGCTTTAGTTGTTCTATCTTCAAATTCCAGTGCAATTTTAAAACATTCACCCAGGGACCACTCCCTCCCCGATCTTTTTTTTTGTTAGAAGTGAAGAACTAAGGGTGTGTCAGACTGACTTATGGTTAGTTTAAATGAACTTTTCCCCCCAGCTTTTTATTCTTTGTTAAACTAAGTGGCTGTCTGGAACAAGGAGGGGCTGAGGTGCAGATGGGAGATATATTGGGAAATACAGGTGATAGTAAAACAAAAGATTCAATAAAATTATGCTTTAGAAATAAATACACTATCTCTGAAAATTACAACCTGAAGGGGGAGGAACCAAGTATTAATAATGATTACATCCAAAGAATCATTAATTTAATATTTCTAAGGTAGAGGTCGGAGACCAACAACTTATGGCAAACAAAGCTACTGTCACACACCAAATGAAAATATCTGAATGGCCACAGAGTACAAAGCCAAGTAGCCCCAGCATATCATCACCAAGCCAAGCTACCAAGGGAGGAATAACAATGGTGAGAGAGTTAAGGCTCCATAGTCAAACAGCCAAAGAATGGCCTGTCCTCCAGGACTAGGTGATCATATTCCCCACTGTCTACTCAGCCTCTACAAGACCTCTGTCCCAATCCCTTTGGAACCAAAGAATCACAAGAGAATTTTCTACAGTTTGACTTGGGGGAAGGGCTCCTATAGACAAAACTGTTCACTTTAAATAATGGTGATATTCTTTCTTAACATCATACTACCTTAAATAGAACAGCCTTGACTTTAAAGAAGAACCCTTGACTTCAGGGTCCAAAAAGTTGGATTCAAGTCCCATATATTCAGAGCTAGAAGGGAACTCATGCAATCAATCCTGCCCCTGTCATTTTGCAGATGAAAAAGCAGGTCTAGGGAGGTTAAGGAACTTGCCCAAGGTCACAAGGCTAAGTGGCAGAGTTGGAATTCAAACCCATACAAACTCTCAGACTCCAAATCCAAATTGAGTGCTTTCTGTTATATAATGCTGTCTCTTCTCTCTACAAAGCTATGTAACCTTCAACACCACTTGCCTAACTCTATTTCCTTATCTATAAAAATGGGGGTATATCTCCCTACTACACAAGGTTGCTGAGGATCAAATGAGATAATGTGTAAAATGATTTACAACCCTACAGACATAGAAAGGAAATCTATTAATGTTTTGCTAAAAGACAACAGAAACTTTTTAGATTACATTTGTCCTTTAACTTTCTTTGGGACCATTCTTAACATGTGATTTTA